ATATATATATATATATATATATACAGACACCACCAAAGCAGTCATGTAAAAAAACTATCTCAACAGTGGGCATGAAGCAAGAGTAGATGGGCTTAACACTTTCCATACTCTTCACTCAATCCAGATTTTGGAAATTTTCTGTAGGGCAACACAGTACACAAGGTGGGGATCTATTGCCATGAGGTGAGGGGTAGAGAGACTTAAGAAAGGCAAGGAGTGAGCATATGATAAAGTGAAAACAACTAATAATCACTCCTGGGACCCTATGGGGACACTGGAGAATGGCAAAGAGAAGTACAAGAAATTACCATGTGTTGGAGGTAATCTGATATGTGTCATCCACATTCTGGCCTGTAGGATCACATCCTGGAGATGATGTAGATAAGAGTCCAGAGAAGCCATGAGATGACCAACCTGATAGGAGGTGAATGATAAAATGTACAGGCATCTTCACTCAAAGTAGAATACATCAACGAGATGAGCTGAAACTCACATGGTCAAAGTCAGTGACAAGCAGTGTTCCCTCTAAGCTGTGCATCTGCACAACAACCATTCAAGAGCCACACACTTCATTACTCCAGCTGTGCACATCCTCAGTAACAGTGAGGAGTCTCAACACATTAATGACCTTAATGACCCTAGCAGTCAATGGGCCTAAAGCCTAAATAACCAACTGGCAGCATTACAAAGTGCCTAATGATCCAATAGGGTCAACAGTCCAAAAAATACCCTCACCCTAAAAAAAAAAACTGGCAGTGCACATCTGCAAATTTTCTAGATACTGGTGCACATGAAAAAATTCATTCTAGACATGAATTGAAAAAAAATTAGAGGGAACATTCCTGTCAGTCACCATAAAAGGAGGCATTGCAAACAATAAGAGGTGATGGCAGTTTCCATAGAAGGGAAAGTTCGAGTGAGATAACAAAAAACACCCACAAACAAGACATAAAATATATAAAGAAAAAATGAAAGAGAGGGTGATGTAATATTATCTCCCAGCACCCTCCCATTCAGCCCAAGATTTTGGATAAAAGGAGTGGTCTGGAAATAAAATCAGCTGATTCCTGTGCTAAAAAGTGCAGGAGTTGTCCAATGCACAAATGACTGAATGACGTCTCTTCAGGCACAGATGATACATGGAAGAGGAGGCCAAAGGTTCAAATGGGAAACTAGTGAGAACTTGGATAATAATGCAGAGGTTCCAGTCCATAAAAGGGACTAAGCAAGGAAAACTACTGATGAGAAAAGCCCTGCACCAAAAGGTTTGTCAGAATTGGACAATGAAAAAAGAGAAAAGCTGGGTAAGAGAAAAGAGAACAAAAGTTGTGGAAAGCATGGCTCTATGACCACCAAATGTCATCAATAGTAAAACTCTGTTAAAAAGCACATAAGTTAAAGTAGAGTAGGACGACCCAGGAGAAGGGAGTGGCAAATGGACCACAATCCATTTGTGCTGATAGAGGGCCAGTGTGGAAGGCCTGCAAGAACTAGACAGAAAATAAGCTATTCTGCATGAAAAGCCTGACAGTCACACAAGGAACCATACATATCCCAGATGTGGAGTTGAAGGCATAAAT